GAGGTATCCTGAGCTTGATATTACAATCAGAGGCAGAAGCATAGATCCTCCTTGGCTAAACAGCAAATCAACCAACTCCCTTCATATAATAAGAATACCAAAGCATGGAACAGGAGTTGACACCTTGGGGAAGGGAGCTCATGAAGTTTTGTTTTCGAAGAAACTCTTGTCCTGACATTTGGTGTAAAAATGAAGTAGTTGACATGCAGTCATTCACACAGAATTGCGCTTAGGTCCACTCATGATCAGTCACAGCACTCAGTTTATCCACTTGATATTCAATTAAGAAGTTCCATTTTGAACTCTGCAGTTTTGATGAATATAGCAGCTGATCTGTTGCATATATTTTTGAATTTCCTGGTGTCTTTCCTACTAATCCATTGTCATGAGATTCTGATAACGCTATTATGAAAGTTGTGTGCGCCATTGTATGATATCTTGTACATTTTAGTTCTGCTGCATTAGCTGTTAGCTCTGTCAATTAGTTGGAGCTATCCCTAATAAGTGTATGCATCTTAGAAGTGCTTTGGGGTTTTGGGCTTGCAGGATGACAAAGCATATATAAAATGAAAGAGCTTTGAATTACCGTTACTATTTTTCCCCTGTAAACCTTTTTGGGAGTTTAGCAGTATCAAAATCACAAGGTACTTCTATAGAATTCTCTTGAATCCATGTCTTTCAACAACTCCTATCATTTGAAACCTTCTGGAAATGGGGGCTATCTTTACGTTTTTTCAGAAATAAGTTTTGCTGAATCTATATGCCTATACTTAAAGATGTTTAAGCAAACAAGGCCGCTGCAGTATACAATATCAGACATGGCTCAGTGATAATGTCACTGGAAAGATGTACTGGCATTAGAGGCAGTCCCGAGAAGGTTCATTAAGCTGATACAAGGTATGGAGGAACTGTCTTATGAGGAGAGGTTGAGTAGGTTGGGCCTGTACTCATTAGAATATAGAAGAATGAGAGACAACCTTATTGAAACATACAAGATTCTTAAGGGACTTACAGGGTAGATGCAGAAATGTTGTTTCCCATTGTAGGAGAATGGAGGACCATTGTGTCTTGCTCCAGAGACTGATGTATGTAATCTTGTATGATATTCCCAGTGCAGTACTCAAGGAGTATTATACTGTCTGAGATACCACTTTTTGGATGAGAGGTTAATTTGTGACCCAATTTGCCTACACAACTAGATGTATAATTTTCCATGACAATATTTAAACAAGAGAATTTATTATAAATATGCATTTTAATTGGTTGTTTATCTCGTTGCTACATGTGAGACTTTGCCGTGTGTAAATTGTCTCTTACGTTTCTCTGCACTGCAATAATGACCATGTTTCAAAAGCATTCATTGGCTGTGAAGTACTTTGGTACATCCTGGCATTATGAAAGTTGCAGCATGGATTCAAGCTCTCTCTTTTTAAATAGAATTGCATAGCGTATGCATTACTTCAAGTAGGAGTTAGATTTTATTCTTTGGGCTAAAGAGATCTCAAAGGGAATTGGGAGAAAGCAAGAACAGGGGACTGATCATATTGAATGATGGAGAAGGCTCAAAGGGCTGAATGACCTACTCCTATTGTCGGTGTTTCCATTTTCTATGTTTCATATCAGTGAGTGGTAAGGGTGTTTGTTGATAGAATCCCTACATTGTAGAAGCAGGCCATTTGGCCCATGGGGTCCACACCAACCCTCCGAAGAGCATCCCACCCAGACTTACCCCTTACCCTGGCCCTTCATTTCCTACCCTAGATACAATGGGCAGTTTAGCATGGCCAATCCACCTAACCTGCACATCTTTGGACTATGGGAGGAAACCGGAACACCCGGAGGAAACCCACACAGACAGTCACCCAAGGGTGGAATCAAACCCGGGTCCCTGGCGCTGTGAGGCAGCAATGCTAACCACTGAGCCACCGTGCCACCTGAGCCTTTGCTGCAGAGTTTGAGGAAGAAGCTATTTCACTTTGATCTTTAATGAAATAGGGAAAAGATGATCAAACAATCCACCAACTCTCCAAGGGATGTTATGTTCTTTTGCTTGCCAAATAATGTAATTTTACCATTTTTCATGCCGGTCCAGCATATCCCAACCTTCTTATGAAGTTTTACACATGAATTTATGACATTTGGAATGTACTAGGCATCACTTTTCAGTTCCGTGAAGGTGAAGTGGCCATAGTTCCAAAGGACCATAAGGCTGCTGTCTCATTAGAGAAAGACAGCTGGTGGTGAGTTTAATCTGAGGGTCACCACACCTCAGGTGAGGGGCGAGTTTGAGAAAGTGGGACCTTCATGATCTCCATCGAGCGAAGTCATAATGAAGCTGGGCAGGATGCCTCCGAATCCAAAATGTTTCCTGCATTAAGGGAGAATGTCCCACATGTTCAAGCAAGAGTGCTTGGAGTATTTGCATAGGTTGTGAAATGAAATTCTGTTTTCAGAGAGTTGATGAGGCAATACAGGGCAGTGCACAATACCATACAATGTGTTCTAAACGATGTGCCACGAGCATAGTAAACCTTTGTTTTTAAAACTTGGTTCCCTTTTGCAACCCACTTAACAATCCTACTGTGCCTGAATATTTGCCATCTTTGTTTGGCTAAGTGAATGGGTTTCAAACATAGTTCATTGGCTATGATGTGCTTTAGGACATTCTGAGAACTGTGAGAAGTGCTCTATAAACACATACCATTTTAAAGGAGCAGGCAATTCGTGCACTGTAATGAAGTGTAACTGTACTCTATGGGCAAGTTATAAATGAGAACGCACAGTCTCATGGAATCCCATATTAAAGTTTAGAACTTGGTTCTTTAATCGTCGCATTCTTTTTGCGCCCTTGAAAGTTTAACAGATCCCATAGCTCTATAGGGTAGTCAGATTTTGCTTTGATTCACTAGAGCTCACAGCCGAATCCATGGCACAGATTACAAACAGGGATATCCAGTCAGGGAAGTACGAGGTGATGTTTTCCCCAGTCTGGCATCATTTTTGCTCTTAAAACAGAGTGAAATGTAAGTTGTCTGTTTTTAGAACACTGAAATTTTTAACGATCATTTGCTTAAAATAGATTTTGGCTTTCCAAAGTGAATCACAAAGCATTAACAATACCAGAAATAGATATTTAAGAAGCAGTGCAGTAACCAGTAGCTCAGTGACCTCATCTAAGAAGTTGCTGAACCATGTAACCAAAACAAATCTCAGCTTTGACCCGCGGTCAGTGCTCCGTTACCTGTTCTCAGCTTTGATCTGTGGTAGAGGTTTTGCAATGCAGGACGTAACAGTTGAATAGCCTTCCCATTTCTGGTGACTGTCAAGTACTGTACAGGAGTCATGGACATTTGGGCAAAGTGCAATAGGTTAATGGGCATGAATGGAACAGTCCCAACGGGGGCAATGACATCAGCAGGGAAGAGTGAAAATAATTTTGTTTTTAAGTAACTGTCAACTTGGTCTTGGAGCTCTTCAAACCAGGCTCCTGTTGATTGCTGCAGCTGTGCTGTGCTTAATTCATCGTCCTTTTGATTCCACATAACTTATCTCAATCTTATGACATTTTCAAAGAGATAGATAAGGTAGATGCAGGAAAGATGTTTCCCCCTGGATGGGGCCATCTTGAACGAGGGAATCTAGTCCTAGAAGAGGGGGCAAGCCATTTACAGTGAGAAGAGGAGGAATATCTTCACTCAGTGGACAGTGAATGTTGGAATTCCCTACCTGGCTCAGTAATTGAATATGCTGAAGTCAGGGACCAATAGATTTCTAGGTACTAATGACCAATGGTTCCTTCTAATTTTCTTTCTGGCTGCGCAGGTCAATGATGTCCGTGCACTGTTGCAACTTCTGGAAGGGAAGTCAATGCTGCAGTTGGCAGGGCGATGCCAATAGCCAAGCATGGAACCTTGGAGCAGCTGCTTGCATGTGCAGCTGCACAGCTTAGAGGGAAAGTTGTTAGTAACATCACAGGAAATGGTGATACCTTGATAAAATACTGTTAAAGTAGATTATCAGTTATAATTTAGAATAACAGAGCAGGCTGGCAGGGTTGAATGGCCCACTCCTGCTCTGTGTTCCTCAATGTCTAGTTCCAACTTTTCATTTTCCTCTATTATGGTTGTTCAGTTTTCCATAACAGTTATCCATGTATGGGTGATTTTCCAGTTCCATGCAGGAACTATGCAAACTTGGAACCAGCAGAGAGAAGAAATTTTCTGGTTGGACTGGATTTGAACCCAGATGGCAAGTCTGAAAGGACACTATGCCACTCAAGTTTAACCCATACAATATCAGTTTCTGTTTTCATTTTCTTTTTTTTCCTTTTATCCCCCAGAAGTGCTCTTGCACAGTACTGACTGTTTGTTTCTTTTTTTACCCCATCACCAAATCACCCAATCACCAAATCACCCAAGGTAATTTTATCACCCATGCTCTCCAATCATTGAATTTATCAGTTTGTGTTCCATGAGTGAACTCAAACATTTCAATATAAATCTAGACACACACTCACAAATGCCATTCATTATCTGTGAGCTAAATGCTAAATTTCTGAAATATACTGACTTAAGTAAGGAAATTATGGCGTATGCTTCTATCTTGTTGAGTAGTGACACATACTGGCTTTCAATCATCTGATACCAAAGGCAGGACAGCCTCTGATTTTGCTCTCTTTGAAAGCCCTTCTTTGTTTCCTGAATGTTCTCGGAATAGAATTTTCTTAATTTCAGGAAAAAAAAATCTCATTGTTACTTCATTCTCACCTATTTAATTGTTCATCTTTGTTGCCCTTTGTGATGGTATATTTTATGTTAATTTTATTGTTGTTATACATAGCAATATGACTGTGGTCACTTGAAAATCAAAGATGTTTCCAGATCCTTGAGTAACAGCATAGTGACTGAGGCATTACTGTATGAAGGGATAGCATGGTGAAGGAAGAGAGTCTACCTATAAACTGTTGTTGATTGATTTTTTTTTCACACTTCTCCCCACAGTTCAGAGTCTTCACAGCTCCATTCCACAAAGTAGAGTTTGCAGATTTTTGGCTGGCCGACCAATTGAACAGCTTGGCTACAATTCTGATGGACCTGGAGTACATGATCTGCTTTTATAGCTTTGAACTGAACTGGAGCTTGAGTGAGGGACTGCTCAGTGCTCCAGGTAATGTATTATGCTGAATAATCACAATGAGGCTCCAAATGTATGTTGTTTCTGCTTCATATTTTCCACATCTAAAAGGTGGTCTAAAGTTGCCATTACTTGAAAATTTTTTTTGACAGTTAACACTTCCAGCACATTGGCAAAAACCTATCCGAAGTACTATGTTCAATTCTGGACGTTGCACATCATGAAGGATATATTGTCTTTGGAGGGGGTGAAAGATTATACCAAGATTTAAAGCATTAAATCATCGATATAGGTAGCATAAATATGTTGTATTCACCTGAGTTTTAAAAAATGGAAAGATGATCTGATTGCGATCTTTCAAATAAAAAGAGAATCAGTGGTATACATACAAGCCATCTCTGCTGATGGGGAAATCCAGAGTAGTGAGGCACAATCTTAGTATTGGAGTTAGACCATTTGCAATTGAAATTAGGAAACACACACAAGGTATCAGGAACATGGAATTCTCTCTCAAAAGGCTGCGGATGCTGGGTCAATTCAAATTTTCAAGATTAAGATCAGATTTTTATCAAAGGTATTGGAGGATGTAGAGCATAGTGAGGTAAATGAATCAAACTTAAGATAAGTTACAATCTAATTACTTACAGAATAGACTTGAGGTGCTGAATAGCCTACGCCTGTTCTTAGCGGTCATGTGTACTCTGTGATGATGTGTTTTGGAACTGCTAAAAACAGCAAAGTTGCAGGTTTGATTCCAATGTCCTTACTGAGTTAGCTGATCTTAATTGGGGTGATGAAATTGGGGTTAGGAGGCAGGAAAACTTCGCACTGTTGGTTGCTGGAATTTATTTGATAAGTACAATGGTAATTGATAGAATACACCGTAGAAAATTTTAGTTGGCACTCACGTGATGACTGACTGACTGTCCAAGGTGCCAACTAGCTACAGCTCCTCATGCAGCTAAAATCAGGTGTAACCACCTTCAAACAAGGAGGACAGGAAATTTCACCCCCCCCCCCTCCCCCCCGCCATGTATTCCAGACATCATGTAAGTAGTTGTTCATTAGTATCTGTCTATTCTGCAAATACTGAAACAATAAGGAATTGCTGAATGTTGGAAATGTTCAATACATTCGTTGTATGTGTTTTGTTGTTGTGTGCACCCTATTTATTCAAGTTTGTGGGCCGTTAGTTGTTATTTGATTGTGAATGCATGTTGATGTAAAGGAGTCAACTTATACTTGTCCTGCACAGAAACTTTTGGGAGATTAGAGTGAGCAGTAGTTACAACCCATATTGTAACTCAGCTGTGCTCATTTGTCATCTATAAGCAAGCAATCCTTAGTTTTGGAAAAGAGATGATACAAGGAATCTTGGGGGGAAAATGGAGCTTTAGCTGCTTAATTCATTTTTACAGAGCTTTAAAAAATATTCTGCATGAGCAGTTTCAATAATTCTATTGACCAGTTTCAAATGAAAGGATTTGTGAATTGCAACAGCAAATTTAACTTGGTTCAATTGATCCAAAAAATGTTTTGATGTGTGAATGTCATCAACACACAATTATTTCATGCTTAGTTTATTTTACTGTTGTTAACAGAATCTATTTAGAATTGTGAGAGCCAAGGGAATTTACATAATTGCATAGGTGGTCAGATTGCAGAGTGCATGTCGAAGATCTTCAACAATCTATTATGAAGAATGCTCAGAACTGATTTTGGATACAAGCATTAGCCATCCTATTCCATTTGCCTTATGCACGTGAACCTCAGGAACATGACTAACACAGACTGTACTATGAATGTTTCACTTGAGCTTGCCCCCATGTGGGTTAACTCTAAAACCAGTAAATCCTTGAATCCCACAACCCTGAGCCAACTACGCCATTTAGCAGACGACTGAATGCACCAAGTTTAATACTGTGACATCCATTAAAATCGAAGTACACACGATGAATGACCTCTTTGGGCTAGGTATCATAGGGTGATGCATATCATGGAATTCTACATAGCATCTTTGGGTTGTTTTGGTGTTCTTTCCCTCGAGGTTTCACATCCTCTTTTGACATCCTGTTGTCTCCTCTTTCTCATTTACTGCTTTCACTTATTGTGTCTAAAGTGCTTCCTGTCAGAAACCTATTCTAACCTTTTTAGGTTTTAGTGATACCTATTTTGGGGGATTTGATGATAACATGATTACACCAAGTCTGATTACCTAGTGATATGTTTGTCAAACAACTGTGGCATTGATGAGTGTGACAGTTTTCTTCAGCTGGCATAAGAGGCTGGTTATAATTGGAAGACTTGCAGATTTGATGTGAGTTAAGTATTGTCACGATTGGGTTAGCTGTTCCATTTGGACAAGGTGTCCCTTGGAATAGAAAGAGCAATTAGCTTCATTGCATGTATCTTGAAGTCAAGCATTTATATACACTAGTTATAGCAACTCATTATTGAGACTGGCCACTGCAGCAAGGTGATCTTTATGATAAGAAAGAGTAATCAGTACAGATTTCAAATGTCTTTATTTAATCTGACCACCAATTGCTGTTGTACTGGCATCACACTCAAAATATAAACGGGGAGAATGACGGATTTACAACAGACTAATAGGATTTACAAACAGGCAGACCACGGCACATGGACTGCAGTGGTTCAAGAACTTATCTCACCACCACCACCTTAAGGGCAACTAGGGCAATGCCTCTGACCCATGAGTGAATAACAAAAAACAAAGGGACAATTAAACATTTTTTGGACCTCATGTGTATGCTGTCACAATTGCTGATCTGTTTCCCTTTTGCTTGTTATAGGTGATAGCGTGTGCCACAGCTACTCCTATGGAGTAAGAGCCATCATCCAGTGTCTGCCCGCGTGGGTACGCTTCACCCAGTGCCTGCGCCGCTACCGAGACACCAAACGAGCATTCCCTCATCTAGTCAATGCTGGGAAGTATTCCACCACCTTCTTTGTGGTGACCTTTGCTGCTCTCTACAGTACACACAAAGGTAAGCTGGTGAGAAACAGTTACTTCCCCTGCCGTATGTCTTGGTGAAACCATTGTCACTGATTTGAAATTTGGCTGAAGGCTGAAGTCTAAGAACATGATTTAAAGATATGTGACTGCAAGTGGGATTTAATAAATTCAGAAAAAATGGTAACTAATTTTATTGTTTCTCGGATATTGCCCTCTTCAGTGTATAATGTGAGCTGATTCCCAGCCTCCAACCTGTTATTTCCCTCCATTCCCTTAGCAGCCTCTAACTCTCAAATCCACATTCAGTATGATAAATCTTTTAGTTCATTACCTGTAGACAGGTCTGATGTGTATAGGTTTCTTCCATAGTTAGTCCCCTGAGATCAGAATAAAGGGATTGTGAAAATGTGTAATAAAACACAGCAGGTTACTGAGCTAATAAGAATTCCTTATTCTTGCAAATATGAAAGCATTACAAATCTGCACCTGTATATCATTTTCAGATCATGTTTTAGATTTGTGGTAAATCTCAAGTCACCATTACTCTTCACCCCATTTTAATCCGAGTTAAAAAATATTTGCTAAAAGTGGGAAAATTCATGTTTCAAATGGTCGGTCAGATGCTGCATTTTTTGGTTTGAATAAAGTTGTACCGTAGTTTCAACTCTACATTTAGGTTGCTCCTATTGCGTCACTCTGTATTGTACCACTTGCCTCCTATCCCTTTTTCTGGCATGTGTACCAGGGCTGAAAGAAGAAATAAAAGCAGGAAATGCTGGAAGCACTGTGCAGACCAGACAGCATATTGTAGAGAAAGAAACTGTGTCAAGGTTTTGTATTGATGATCTTCCACCACAAAGTGAATCAATCACAGATTTAGCAATTTTACATAAGCTGTGTTCAAGTTAATAAACTGATAAACCACAATCTCTTCCAGTCCTAATGATAGATATCGACTTGAAACATTAAATCTGTTTTCTGTTTTCATAGATATGTGCCTGAATGCTGAGTGTTTCCAGCATTTTGTTGTTATATGTTAGATTTCCAGCAACACCATGATACTGATGCACAGACTATACAACCACTTAGAAGGGTATTAACAAAGAATTTAAAGGATGAACATGATGGACTGAAACACCTCCCTGTGTGCTGATCCTGTGGCTTCAGAGGAACAGAAATTAGAGAAAACAAAACAAGCAAATTCTTTTGAGGCTGACTGCACCCTCCTGGCTTGAATAATAATTTATGGCTTTTGTTGCCCATGCATTGTATGATCCTCATTTGTAGAAATCAAAATGCTGTCATTCACTTCTCCATGAGTGTCCTCTATTAGCAGCAAACATGAGCCTTCACGTGCAGTAAATGTAGCTGATCTCATTTAATTGCTTCATTTTGTCTTGTGTTTAATTTGAATAGGCACTTTATTCATCTGCTCTGTGGTGCAAAAGATCAGACCATTTTTTCAAGGTCCTGCTCCTTTCTGTGGCATAATTAGAAAAGAGAATTTTTCATCATTATTTTCAAGCTAATTTGGCAGTTGGTTTCCATTTGCTTGTTCAAACAGCCTCTGTTTTGAACACAGTAGAAATGTTAGATATAGGATCCGAGCACAGTGATCTGATCTTTAGTGTAATCATTTGTGGCTTTAAAACCCATAACACTGGAGACTGAGTGTGTTCTTCATAAATTATCCTGTTAGCTCGGGATTCAAATTGAGCCAAAACTGATGGACTGTGATTAAATGAGTCAAATTCCATTTTATTTAGACAAAATTCAGATTATTTGCATTTATTTTGATCACATCCTGTTATTCTAATTTTTTTCTCTCCCCTTTAAAACACAAACGAGTCACAGTTCTAAAGCAAAACTCAAGTGAAGACTGACAACTGTGATATTCCACGTAAGCAAGTCATCGTCTGATGTTCACAGTGTGGGCTTAGACAGGAAGGATGCTGCATTAATTCAATAAAAAAAATCATATGACTATTACTTTAGCAGTTGAGAATGCAGACTTGACCTCTTGGCGTGCAGTGGTAGTGTGCCTACCTCTGGACCTGAAACCCACGGTTCAAGTCCAACCTGCTTCAGACGTGTGTCATAACCATAACATGTCTGAACAGGTTGATTAAAACTATGTAACAGAATGGAATAGAAACAATTTTTGCTGGAGAACCTTATGGAACCATTGGAGAAGCCAAGTGTGTATGGTTTGTGTCACTCCCATGGTGTTTTCTGATTGGCTTAGATTATGCACAACGGGACACTTAGAGGGAATTAGTACATGGCCAATCCTTATTAGGAGATTTTCTTGTTGGTCATATTCATTTTGCACATGCTGTATGATACTTTTCTCCCCAGTCACTTGTCCAACTATGATTTTTATTATGCAGCTCACTTTCAAGATTTGTTTGAAATTTCTACTGTGAAGCACTTTTGGACACTTTTCTGCATTAAAGGTGCTATATAAATGCAAGATGTTTTCTTTGTGTCTTGTATTGGCTGAAGTAGAGTTGGATTCAAATAATGGTTCATTCTGATAGTTTTATTTGGAAAACAAGCATGTGTGACGGGTAGTGTTTTTCATATTCATATTAACATGAAGGGAGGCATGTTTATAAGTTAACATTGCTGAGCAGTGGCCATGGGGTTCAGGGTGTGTAGATTTGCACTGAATAATGTCGTGGAGAACTGCCAAACAGAGGTCAGTCACCTCCCAGGGGAAGGGAAGGAAAATCAAAGAAAACAAACATTTGCCACAGAATCCCTGAATCTGGTTTCTGATCAGTATTGAGCAAAGTTTTAGAAGCAAGTCCACAATAAGTCATTCAAAGTGACCCAGAAACGGGGAAGGAAATACTTTAATTGGAGTAAGTTTACCCTTTTTAAATCCATTCTTATTCCTTCTCTCCTAAGTGTACTGTCCTTGATGATGTACATTTCAAAGGACATCGTTGCCTCTCCAGCCCATGCCCCAAATGGTTGTTCTTTGTGTATTGCATACCTACAAACATTTGAATTAGGAACAGCAAAAAGCCATTCGATTCCTTGAACCTCTTCCACCATTTGATAAGATCATGAGTGATCTGATTGTGCCCTCAACTCCACTTTCCTGCCCACCTTCAGTATCATTTCATCTCTTATTGGTCAAGAATCTATCTACTACTGCTTCCATCACCCTATGGGAGTGTGTTCCACAGACTGGTGACTCTTTGAGAGAAAGAAATATCTACTCATCTCTGTCTTATTTGGGAAAGACCTAATTTATAAACCGTCCCTGAATACCAGTTTGCTCCCTAAAGGGGAAATATTCTTTCAGCATCTACTGTGTCAAGTTCCTTCAGCTTCAGGTACGTTTACAAAGGTTATCTCTGTCCTGTCAACTGACCCAACCTGTCCAACCTTTCGGTTTAACTGCACACTCACCACACCACCATCCCCAACCTCCCACTCCTCCCCCCACCCCCCAATCCTGTCAGAGACCAGAGGACTGAAAGGGGAGTGAGAAACAAGGAGACAAAGATGGACTCAATGGGAGACCAGGGGATTGGGTGACAGTGGACTGAGTGAGGGAGAGGTAGAACTGGAAATCTGTTGGTTGTTGCCATCTGTGTGGCTGGTAGTGCCTGCAAATGAAGTAATCTGGTATTAAAGCTCTTCTTAGTCTGATCCAAGTAAAATGCAGTGCATACAAGATAAAAATATGGCCAGTTTTATGATTTGTATCTGTGCAATTTCCTTGTGTATGTGATTCTCCATATCCCTAGCACCCTGACCTCCACTTTCTGATAGCATTGTGAGAAACTGAATGCATTAAACTTCAAACTGCTACTACACCTGCCCTTATACAATGTTAAGTAGATAATGTAGGAGTGTGTTCTGTTAGCAATTATTTCATCCCAGGTTCTGAAAAGACTTAACAGGATTTTTGCAAAAACATTGGGAAGTTCTGCCTGGCTCTAATTTTATCCTGAAAATTCATTGCTTTGATCCTACTAAAATGAAAGCTGTATTAGTAATCTAAAATGGCGAAAAAGTCAGATCAGCCGAGTAGGTTGACCAGTCCTCAATAGCTATTCATATTGTCTGCAAGTCTCCCTTTCTAAGAACCAGACGTTGTTCATGAATTTGCAAACACAACAAGAAGAGATATTTAATCCCATTCCTAGCTCAAAGCCATGCCTTGAGATTTTGAATCCAAATTATTCCCTAAAAATAAAAATACTTTTTGTTTGTCTTGTTGGCTACATTTGAAAATCTTAATAAAATTCTTGCATTTATCCATTTTCCATTCTCGCGACTGACATTGCTTTCTCGAGATCCAGACGTAGATTCACACAATAGAATAACTTAGCAGCAGAGTTTAGGAATTTTTCAATAGTGTTGTCCTTAAGCTTGTATCTGTTGCCTTTGTAATTATGCTGTGACTGACGGAGTGTAGTACAGATGAGAATTTTGGTTACATTGTATGTTATGATCAGAGATGCATTGTCTGAAAGCAGATTTTCAAGAGAATTGGGTAAATATTTCAAAAGGAAAAATTAGCAACACATTTGTTAAAGAACAGGGAGCTGTGACTAATTGAACAGCTCTGTCAAAGAGGCAGCTTGATGGGATGAATGGTTGGTTTCATTCTATTTCTATGAACAGCCATGATAAAAAACTTTCTTCCTTCCACCCACATTGGTGCTAGAGTTTTTTTGGAAAAACATTGTTGCAGAAAGTATATTCATGATTTTATTTCATTTAGTCAAATAGTGCTGTACTCGATATTTGAAAGCAATTTGATTTTTCCGTAGCACATCAAGTTAGGCATGTCAAAGCCAGCAGCGTTTTCAGAAGGCGGTTCTCAGTTTACCCAGTGACACTTATTGGACTGGAACAGATCAACTTTAGTGTCTGCCATGGCCAAGTAGCTTGCATGCTCTGTCAAGCTTGGATAACGTACAAATATTGGCTAATTAGTGGAGATGTTGGAATGTGCCCAGTGCCCTTCAACTATAATGGAACAAGGACAGTGAGGTTATCAGAGGAAGAATGAGAACAGATTTGGAAAAGGGGAAGGCCTCCAGCCATTTGTTGTTTACTTTGTCTCTCTTTCTGGACCTAATGGATAGTTTAAGTATGTGGCACTGTATGTTGGTAATATGACAAACAGTTTTTTAAAGGGACCAGTAATGTTTCTAACGATAGGGAGGCATGTGCAAAGAAGAAAGGAAAAGGATAACATTCATCATAATACTATCAAATCTGTGGTGGATCAGAGGCATATCTTTTATCAGGAAAGGGGCATTTAACCATCTAATTGCTGTGTGTAATTTGATGTTGCTTGCTTTGGAATGTAGGAACAGAAGTAGACCATTCAGCCCATCAAGCCTGCACTGGCATTTAATACGAGCATGGCTGATCATGGCTACACCTCTGGGGTAGAGAATTCCAAAGCTTCACCACTCCGAGTTTTAAAAAAAATTCCTTGTGTGAGTCCTAAATGGCTTCCCTCACCTTTTTTTTTGTGTCCCTGATTGTTGACTGTCCAACCAAGGGGAACCTCTTACCTGCATTGACCGTGTCTTTCCCCTTTAAGTACTTTATACATCACAATGAGATCACCTGATTCTTTGAAACTCTAGCAAATGCAAAGCCTGTTTAAAGTTTTCGAGAAGATTTCTGGCTTGGGTTGTGCATGAGGTTGTAGACATGCTCGCCGAGCTGGTGGGTTTGGTTGCAAACGTTTCGTCACCGTGCTCGGTAACATCAGAGACATGCTGATGATGTTATCTAGCAGGATGACGAAATGTTTGCAACCAAAACTCACCAGCTCAGCAAGCATGTCTACAACCACAAAGCCTGTTTGCCCAATCTCTCTTATAGGACAATTCCATCATCCTCGAAACAAGTCTGGCGAATCTTCATTGCACTTCGTCTGTGATAATAATATCTTTCCTGAGATAAGGAAACCAAACAGTACTCCAGGTGTGGTCTAACCAATCACCTACACAATTGAAGCAAGACTCAAGTCCTCTTGCAATAAAAACTCACATTCCAGCCTTCCAAATGGTGTAGATGTAATTTCAGTGCATTGCCTAGCTCAGTGGCTGATTTGAATTTTACAGATCTTCAATTCAGTTCATAGTTGGACTTATTAACATAAGTTTATATATCCATTACTTGAAATTTGAATGCATGATAACACCACTATTTAGGTGGAGTATTTTTCTGTGTATTATTTCATAAAATAGTTATTTTGATAGAGAAAGTTTATATAATGACACTAAGAAAGAGGTTAAGTTACAAGCACTAACTTCCTACAAGATGGCTGCAACCACTTCGTTTAGCATTTGAATGAATCATTTCTTTGAGGCAAAGCATGATGTGTTGTTGTACAGATTGTACTACTTTTACCATGTGACCTGCATCAGTACTGACTGATAAGAACAGTTGCTCCACCTGCTTTAAAACCTGCAGGTCAGAATACTCAGATGTCGGGTAATTATAGTAACCAAGTACAATCAACCTTTCCATTCTTCTCAACCGTGGCAGAATAGCATGAGCTACAGAAGAAATTAACTCCTTGGAAAGAGAAGGCAAGAAAGTGAAAAATCAGTGAAGGTATTGGTTCTATGTGTAGGCTGAGTTTCACCAATTATTGCAGTACCTCAGATGAAGCACTTCACCTGAAGCAGGTCATTGCCAGCTCACTGCTGCACTAGATGCTGGAAGGGGGCGAAAGATCCAATGTAAGTGGAATTACCTTGTGCAAAATTTTATTCAAAGAATGATTGCAATAATTATGTGGCTTGGACCATATGCAACAGCAGGGACTTTGTAAAGAAGGCAACCGGAATTAATCACTAATCCTCTATGACTTGAAAACATATCCAGAACAAGTTTAAAAGAAATTACAAAGAAATTAGAAATAGTCCAAAAGTCAGTGTTAGTGCTTACCCTCCCGCATGGGCCTAATCCCATTTACCTGCTGTATTTCTATAGAGCTCTCTTTTCCTTTCCCTTGTCTCCCATTTTATCTTATTAAATGTGACACAGTCTTTGCTTCAATCAGTAGTTCCAATGTTGCTTTTCAAAACCACGACCCTCTATGTAATCACAAAAGTTCTCTGCTTCATGTGCTAAATCTCTTGCGTTTAATTTTATAGCCATGCAGCCCCATTCTAGGCATCACAAACCCGAGGCAAGTTTGTTGCTATCTAATCTGTTTCATTCTTCCATAATATTAAACATTGCTATAAATTGTCTTGTAGTCCCCTCTGTATGTTTAAAAATAAGTCTCAGTATTTTAGGTCTTTGAGTTTATATTTCCTCATAATAAACAGCATCCCAATGAATCCACACTGTACCCTTTTGATTGCTGCAATATCCATCTTGAAGTGTAGACCTCAAAACTATACACCCTAAATGAGCTCTGACCTAACAAAGTTTTGAGTAGTTGTTTCAGCACAATGGAG